TTTTATATTGTTCTTATTAGTAGAATTCGTATCATTATTATCTTAAATTTTTTTACAGAAACACTGAATGACCAAAAAAGCACCACCACCAGTCCGAAGTTCAGTTAAAATGACTAATATGCATTCATACATGGTTATCAAGTTTAAATTCTAATTACTAAAGTTCTATCTAGGAATATAACGATTAACCGCGAGCTGGTTGAAAATCGATTCAAATATGTGACGATTCAAATCGGTTGAGATGCTAAACAAATCGCGATTCAGTTAGGGTAGGAGTTTATATGAATGTATGTCTGAGGTCTTTCGATGGTATTTTTCATTTTCCTCTTGCCTCTGTATAATGCATATCAGGGCTCCAGACTCATTCTTCCCACTGGGCGCTCTTTTGCAACTAACTTTCTCAGCTGGTCGCACGAGCACATGATTTGGTTGCAATATTTTTTTTTTGCGCTACAACATGGGATTATTCAATTTAGCTGATGAACTTTTATCATAGATTATAGTTATATGGAAACGAAAGTTGTTAACATTCAACCCATTCTTTATCATCAGTAGTATTATTTGTGATTTGAACTTTGTGAATGGGAGTTTCTCTTTTGCTGTGTTAAGAGCGGGCTTCGGATGCTTTCACTTTCGAATTCGCAATCTTGTTGTCACTGTTTTGCTTACATACATCTACACACCTTTAATTTTTTAAGACTAAAACAAAAGATGGATTCATTGTTATTCTTAATCAAAAAGCACAACAACAATAAATCAGTAAGATACAATGACAAACTAGCTTACAAAACGTTTATTAACAAAAACGAATAAGAATAGGCATGGCACACACCACATGCTGTATTATATACACCGACTAATAAATTACAGAACGTTTAGCAAACACTGAATGAATGAATGAATGAATGAATGAATGAATGAGAGCCTCCATAGCTTAAGGTAAACAGCAAAGATAAGTTTTTCAAAAATGTAAACAAAAAGAAAAGTAAAACTAACGGTGACAGTGCTTGCATGTTTTTTCCCCCACAAGAATACCAGCATGTTCACCTTCTCTGGTTTAAGAAGCGGTCTTTTAGTTGACTCGCTTACTGTACCATTTTACAAACAAACATATACACACATATATATTTATATATATATATATACTATATTTATCAGTCTGGCGAGTAAACTAAAAAATTCACTAGCCAATGGCGATTCAATTGCCAAGGTGTTCGTAGAGGGCTGAGTAGTATATTATAAAATATTATAAGAGTAAAACGCAACACATAGTTCATTCATTAATAAAATAAAGTACAGTCTTGCACCTTTTTTCATATGTTTTACATGTAGAATTTTTATTTTATTTCATACAGATAGTTTATATATCTTTTTATGCTTCAAATCAAAGTTTGTAATTTTTTGAATAATTTTGGAGGTAGCTGTATTGGTTCATGAATTTTTGGAGAAAATAAATTTGAAAAATACTTTCAAAACCATGGCAGTCACTGTTGTACCCCATAGTGTACATGAACAGACAGCTTGTAAAATTAAAAAAATAAAATAACCCTAATATTACAAGCTGCAACAAGCATCAGGGTACCTACTAGCCTGCTGCAGATTATTCATTCACCATCATGCTGACTTGAACGTTAATGCTATGAGAAAAATTAATCAGCTGCTTAATCAACCACCCAAAGTGTGAGGTTAGAAGAGAACAAAGGTCAATCAACTGCCTAATTAAACAAAAGTTAGCCACGTAGAGGCAGTAATTTACTGACCCCATCGGTTTCCGAAACGTCCACATTGCCATTGGCATCGTCGTCCATTTGCTTGTGAATGCTGCGGATGGCCTCAAAACTGAGGATGGCGATCTCATCCTGACAGAGCAGCTCGTCAATGCGGCAAAACTCTGAAGAAAAGAGACAGACACAGTTAGTGAGATACTTAAACAAGCCAGGCTGCAAACAAGTCGAATTCCTGGATTACCTCTCATTTAATGTGTTTATAATGCATGTTCTGGATCTTTGTAATCTTTAAACAAAACATAACAATTTGCCTTTCCACTGAAACGACTTTCCTTTCCCTATGAGGCTATTGGATAATGTTAAAGGTGCAGTAGGAGATCTTGAAAAATGCTAACTTTAGCCTGATAGCACTGAAATCGAACGTCCCACCCTCCCTGCAATCGCCGTCCAAAGCCACGCCCCCGAACACATATACGCTCACAGACCAGAATACCAGAGACAACATTACTACAATAGGCTACATCAGCGGTTACCAATTCCAGCCCATGTTCCGAAATGAAGTAAACTTCAACGGATTTCAAGTCAAGTCAAGTCAAGTCTGCTTTATTGTCAATTCTTCCACATGTACAGCACATACACACAGAGAATTGAAATTGCATTACTCTCAGACCCTTGGTGCATACAGATAACACTAACAGTAGAACATAAATACAGATATACAGATTAAATATAAAATACAACTATACAAATATACAAATAAGGTAAAATGTAAAAAAAATATAAAAAAATATATATAAAGCAGCACACGGCACATGGCAGATAGAGTGCAAACCAGTGAAGTAAACAACAGTGCAGATATAATGATTTGTAGTGCAAAAAGAGCTTATTTAGACTGATTAAAGTGACAGTGTGTGTGTGTATTTGGGAGGGGGGAGTGGGAGAGTCCGTCAGAGGGTCAGAGATGTTGAAAATGTCTGTGAAGACATCAGTGAGTTCCACTGCACAGTCTCTCAGTACACGCCCAGGAATGTTGTCAGGACCCGGAGCTTTGCGTGCATTGATCCTGCTGAGGGATCTCCTCACGCTGTCCGGGGACAGCGTCATCACCTGGTCGCCGGGAGGAGGTGGAGTCTTCTGTGCAGTGGTGCTGTTTTGTGCCTCAAAGCGAGCGAAGAAGACGTTCAGCTCGTTCAGCAGGGAGATGGTGCTGTCACAGGTGCGTGGTGGGGGCTTGTAGTCCGTAATGGTCTGTATCCCCTGCCACAGGCTCTGACTGTCTCTGCTGTTGCTGAAATGATGGGCTATCCTCCTGGAGTACTGTCTTTTAGCCTCTCTGATGCCGCAGGATAGGTTGGCCCTAGCTGTCTTCAGGCCCACCTCATCTCCAGCTCTGAAGGCAGCGTTCCGCGTCTTCAGGAGTCCGTAGACCTCCCCTGTTAGCCACAGCTTCTGGTTGGCCCTGGACAGTGATGGTCTTTGTGACTGTTACATCATCAATACACTTGGTGATGTAGGCAGTGACAGTCTCTGAGTACTCCTGGAGGTCTGTGGTGTTATTGTATGTTGCAGCCTGCTTAAACATATTCCAGTCAGTGGTGTTAAAACAGTCTTGAAGAGCCTCTGACGACCCTTCCGGCCACACTTGTATCTGTTTGTGAACTGGTTTGGTGACTTTAACGAGTGGTCTGTATGCAGGCATTAGCATGACAGTGATGTGGTCTGAGGTGATTTCTCACCGCTTCAGGGAGTAGGGAGCAATGAACACTGTGTAGGGATCATATCGATCGGAACACAGTTCATGCACATAGCTCACTTCTAATGAGCTGGTTATCTGAATCGGGTGTGCTAACTAGCGAGACCTGCAAAATATGCAGAGCGGGGCGTGAGGACTGGCATTGGGAACCGCTGGGCTGCCTACATCATGTGTCATTCACCAGTGATAAAACTTTAAAAGTACTACAATACCAGGAAGGAAGACTGGGTTGTTGATGTTTGTCTGCCATTCTCGCTCTATCTGCACAGTGTGCGTGAACGCGCTGATGATGTATCCTGTCTGCGCGAACTGGGTGTGCAGAGGTATGCTAATACATACTGTACGTTGACAGGCAGGTAGGAAAGCCAATTAAAATGCCCGGACCGAGCGCTTTCATTGGACGAACATTTCTTGGTCCTACGCCTTCCACAGAATATATAAATACAGATAAATACATTTAGACCACTTAACTTAATGATTGCTATCGGGATGTGAAGAGACTTTCAACCAGCATAACAAAATGTTTTTCTGAAGACAATCACCTATTGCACCTTTAACCACTACCTATAGTCAATGTTTTAGTGGACAACTGATATAGATTTTTTTTATGATTTATATTAAAAATGTATATTTATTTTACATAATATTTAGAAAATATTTGAAAATTAACCAGATTTTTTTTATTTTTTTTTATAATAATAGACCTGCAAATGCTGTAATACATCTTTCATACATAATTTACTTTCTTCCAACAGCTATGTCAAATAATATATTGAATCGGTATGAACAACAAAAAAAAAAAATCGTTTTTAGTGTTGTCAAAACAGAAGTCAAGCTTCTGAAATTTATTGGCCAAACATAAATTCTTATTAAAACGAAAGAAAAAAAAAAAAGCCAAATATGGGTTGATACATATGAGCCTTGGCGATTTATTGGTCAACCATTAATTGTTTTGGCAAAGTATTGTTAGGTCTAGGTCCATTCTGTTATCAAACATCTACTTTTTACAATTCTCAATTGATAAAATAAAGCCTCAACATATAATTTTTCTAGGTTATTATCCTGTTTCACACATTAATACATCAAATTATGGAAATTAAAGTTATAGAAGTAGAGTTGCAAAAGGCAAATCTCGATAACTAAGTTCTAAGTACACATTTAGCGGATGCTTTTATCGCTTAAGTTACGTTCCATGTCACAATGGTGAAAGGTCTTTCTGAGTTTCAAACCTGCAACCTTTTTGTTACTAGCCAAGATCTTTAACCATTACGCCATCCTACAGTACTAGAAGCTTTACTGGTTTTTAATTGTGAACTAGCGCATTCAACAGGACAACATCAAACAATAAAAGAGCGCCTTTTTGGAAATAAAGGCGAGATAAAAACCAAATATGGCTTGTTGCCTTAGCAATAGTTCATTTAACTGTCGGGGGCCACAAAGCACTTTAATGAGAACATTGCATGCTAATGAAGACGGTCTGCGTTTAAAATTATAGCACCGGATCCAATTTCAGAATTCAGAGGTGCTTCTAAACAGTCCCACTCCAAATCCCACTGTGTCCATGGAGGTTTCCAACTCCAACTATGAGGGGGGATAAAAATAGACTGGCTGTGGTATTAACTAAAACTAGCAAACAACTATTTTAAGGCCGCAAATCTGTACAGCTGTTGTGTTACCACACTGAAGGTTCTGAGGGCCAGGAAGGCTCTGGTTTGTGCTGAGAGAATCTGCAGTAGTTTGTGTGAACGTTCACAAGTGGGAACTTTATCAGATCAGAGCGTGTGGTACTAGAGAGACTGTGATGTATCCGGTTGTTTGTGTATATCAGTGTTATAACACAAAGGAACATTAAGCTGCAAAAATAAACCTTGGCATCTGCCTTTTCATAACACAAGACATGCATTTAGAAACCTAAGAGGAGATGTCTCTTAAAGTTTTCCAAGAACAGCGACAGAAGTCCATCTAAGCCTATCAAAGTCACCCTGAAGGCTTGGTAGATGATTGGGAACCAAGTTAGGGGTGCTGCTAAATGGACATGAAGAGAAGCATATCTGGTTTCTGAAATGTATCACTTACCAAGAAGAATGAACTACAACCTTTATATTGGATGTACCGTCTTAAATACCAGGCTGTACTCAAAACAAATGGAGCAAACCAGAAGAAATTGAACTGCTTGTCTCAGACGATGTAATCACAAGTGATCAGTAAAGATAGATTGCTTTAAAGTCACTTTTGAGTATTTTAATGAATAAAAGTTAAAAAATTAATTTACAAAAACAAAAATCATATTATATTTATATATCATTTTAATTCGAGCACAAATTAGATGTTTCAACCAGATTGGATCAATAAAATATATTTTTTTAATTACACTGCATTTTAATTGTAACTTTTAGGTCCAAACATGCATTACTCCAAATGGGAATGCAAAAAAAAAAAAAAAAGCTTGATTGCAATCCGTCAAGATATATCAGAACGGTCAACCACAATCATGGCGAGCAACAGTTTGGAGAAAACTCAGCTAGTTAGTTCAACGGTTGACACGCTTATAGTTAACTACCAAAATAACAGCTAGGAAACTTTATCGACCCCCTGAGAACAGTGAGAAGATTAAGAATAGGATGGCACACTCGCAATGCTTTTGCATACTTGTGTAGAGTATCTTTCTGGCTTTAGGTTACCAGCTGATGTCCCATTTAAAGTGTTATATAACCTGAACAGGCCTAAGATCAAAAGTACTGGTCAAACCCCAGAAAGCTGTCTATGTAAGAAACATGACTCTCTATATCTAATCAGGGTTCAGTGAATACAGTTATGTAATGCAAAAGTCCCCTTACAACAATTATAACAGTCCAGCTAGTCAAGAAGAGTCAAAAATTAACTCATCATATAAATATTTCCTCTCTCTAAAAAAAAAAAAGAAAGAAATGGGACAACAAACCACTAGTTATTTTCTGTCAATCTGCTGTGATATAACAGACAGGACTCAGGAGATGAGGGGCCGGCTGCCTTTTCTGGGAGGCTGTGGACTAGCGCACCAACTGCAGCTCATGGGACACTGTCTTCTCCAACAGGACTGGAAACAAATCCAGACCGACCAGTGGCATGAGCGTTGTTTACTGTGTGAAGCCTGACCATCACCCTCAGGAGACGCTGAGCTCCATCGGTGCGGTTCTCAGACCTGACACGCACAGGAAGTTCCAAAGATCAAGGCCTGCGGAGGCGTGGTGGGGACAGATCCTCTCCACTAAAGCTTGAGAGAGTTTTTGGTCACAGGGAGACAGATGCAGTCAAGAAACATTTAATGAAATGGGATAAGAGCTGCAGTATTAAGACATACAGGTACACTACTGTTCAAACGCTTGGGGTTGGTAAGATTTCTTTAATGTTTTTGAGTCTTTTATGCTCAAC